CGTTTTCTTTTCCTTTTCTTTATAATTTGTATTTTCAATTTTCTTTTTCATTTCTAACTTTCAACTTTGTAATTTTAAAATTTCAATAAAATATTATTAAAAAAAAAAAAAGAATCCCAAGACACATGAGTCATTAAGTGGGAAGCAGCGGGAGTCCCAGGTAAGGACTGCGGGGGTGCTGTTGTGGGTTGAGGAGGCCCTGGAAGGCCCGGCACGGGGACTTACTGCAGTGACTTGCGTCCTTCCCTGCTGACTTCCCCATTGTCTTTGCTTGTGGGAAGGTGGCAGGGAAGGTCACAAATGGCAATTATGTGACTGTGGGACACTGCAACCGTCTAAGTGTGAGCTGGTTGCCAAACACCCGAATTGCGATCACGTGACCGTGGGAGTGGTGTAACATCCAGAACTTCAAGGACCAGTCGTACGTACCGCTCATTCAGTGCTGTCTCAATTTCAGTCACTGAATGAGTGGTCAGTAAGTAGGGACTACCTGTAATTATATCTCACAAAAATGTTAATCTAGGAATAGCTGGTTGAGTGATAAGTTTTACACGTACCATCATATGTTCCACTTTCTAGCAAAGCTCCACTTTCTTCCAATGCTTTGAACTGATCAACAGGTATAAAGTTATAGTCCACTCCAGGGACTTCCCCATCTCTGGGAGCTCTTGTAGTGCCTGGAATAAAAAAGGCAGGATGACGATAAATAGCTGTAAAGTTTTCTAATCGTATCAGTTTGCAAATTGTTACAGAAAACTGACCTAGATTCATGCCACAAGGTGTCTGCCACTCTGCTATATATTAATAAAAACATATTCAATCACAAGTACTTCTTTATATGAAACTAAATATGTAGCAGGAACAGATGTTAAACCAAATTAAAATCAAACATGTATGCTATTTATTTATTTATTTATTGGTTAAAATACTAGGGCTACCCCACTTCTCAATGACTTAGGGTGGCTCAGAAGGATTAAAAACAAAAACAGTGCAAAAAGTAATAAAAGATAGTCATAACAACAGCATCTTTCCTGCAAGCTCAGGGGTGGATGTCTCTAGAGCTTCCAAATGATAAAAGACTGGATATGGGAAAACAAGCTGAACCTGTATTTACAGAAGACAGAATTATTGAGCCTGGACTCTGGGTTCAGCTGATAGTCCTGTTCTGAATGGGGTTGCACTCACACGTAATTAACAGGCTTGCAATCTTGTGGGTTCTCCTTGATATAAAACTGATAATGGATAAGCACATAACAATAGTGGCAAAGGGAGCCTTTTATCAGCCTCAGCTGACTGATCAATTGTATCCTTTATGAGAGAGAGAGACCTGATTTCAGTGATATATGTACTGTTAACTTCAAGACTGGATTACTACAATGTACTTTTTGTGAGCTAGCCCTTCAAGATTTGTCCTCAGACATTATAATGGTTTTTAGAAAGTACATTAAAACGTGTTTGTTCCATCAGACTGCAGGGGCCAGAACTATATAGCTGCTCTTTTTGGTGAGGAACTTTTAATTTTTGGTCCACTGAATATGGTATTCTGTTTTTACATAGACACACACACATACATGGGCAACTGTACATCACTCAGAGTTGGCTTTAATTGGAATCACTTATAAACTTTGCAAAAAAATAAAAATAAAGAAGCTAAAAATTGCACATGGCCCACAATATAGTGGCATGGGTGACAAATGGCACCTCTAGGAAATGTCACAACATTTCTCCCTCCATGCTGAATCAACAAATCTTGAAGGTTTGTTGCCAGTTGCCAGTTGCTTTGTAAGCCCATTTGGAGATTCTTGTTTTGATGTATAAAGCCCTAAGTCTTAACAGCAGATCGTAATTTTGTAATTAATAGAAGTGAACCCCAAGGACTCTACAATTTTGTAATTTTAATTGATTTTAACTGTTTTGTAAACCGTTCAGAGTCGTTCAACGAGATGGTGGTGACAAATCTGATAGATAAATAAATAAAGTCCTCAAAGGAGCACTTTCTGCAGGTTGCATAAGAAGCTGAAAAGCAAAATCTGTTTATTCCTAGGAGAGGGTCCATATTATGAAGTAAATTGTAGCTGAAGTAGACGCTGGCCCTCTTTTTATTGCAGAGGGAATATAAGAGCTACCTCTTCGATTAGTTGATCATGAGCCATCAACCTGGTGTCAACTCTTAGCAACCACATAGATAAAATCTGAAATAACAGGATTTAGAATTTTGGGGAGATAGAAGGGAAGGGGGTCCAAAAACACAACAGAATAATTCCAGAATGAATGAAGTAACCAGCCTGCTGTGTAGATTTTAATCATGTGGCAGATGCAATTTTTGTAGTGGCAATTTTGAGATACCATCTCACCAGTTGCATTCGCGTATAGAAAGAGGGAAGGACTGAATTTGCTAGAGCCAAGACAATTGGATGGCATCTTGAAACCTCAGCAAAGGCAGCTTACATACCCACACAATTAAAAATTCATTGCACAGAATTTTGACTAAAGTTTTTAAAGTGCTGATTGGTTTGGGACATTAAGAGTCCCTTTGGAGATGAAGTCAACCAGTGTATAGAGCCAGAAACTGTGCACTTGCCAGAGAGAGGAAGCAAAGCAGCAAGTTGCCACTCTGTGTCTAACCCCCTCCCCTTTCTCCCCAAAATTCTAAACCCTCAGTTATTTCAAATGCACATTTTGCAGGCAACACCTTTGATGCTACAAACTTTCAAATCAAAAGTCCCACCCAGTGGAAACTTAATCTCTTTGCTGGATCTCTTATGCAAATATGTATTGACCTTCTTCTTTCCTTGCCCCACTGTCTTATCTTATCTGCATGATCTCCCTTCTTTCATTCCACTCCTTGGAACATGGTACCTAGCCTCAAGACATGCTTCAACACTAAGCTGGAACTTTCAAGAAGTTACTTTTCCCTCTTGTAAAAGGAATTCTTCTTGCCTGATACTATCAGCCTGACTACATGAAAGTTTTAAAAATTACTGGATTTTTTAAATTACCGGAAAGTAACTAGATGTGGCCCTTTACCAAGGCAACAGAAAAACAATGTGCCCTCAGCAGAATTCCTCAACTTGCTGACAGAAAACGTTCAAGAAACTTGCATTTCCCCATCTGATTCCTTTTCTTCTCTTCCTGAGAAATCAGTTTGCTAATAAAACTCCAAATTATACTTTTATATACTGCCTACTTTGCACAGGAGGAAATGGAGAAGACGGGAGGAAGAGGGAGCAAAGAAGTCTCCATGTGTGTATGCGTACGAGCAAAGGAATGTGAATTTCCTGACCTTGGCTAAACTGTCTTCTTTCTGTGTGAATATATTATGGCTTCAAATAAATTAGTTTGTCTTTTAAACTTCTGTACTGCTCCTGCTTGCCTGGCAGGCAAAAGGGAGCAGGAATATTTCTTGGATAAATAATTTTTCTGATTGATTTTAATTTTTCATTTTCTTTGGTATACCTTCAATACATGCTTTGTAAACCCTAACTCTAAACCCATACACTGCAACACTTTCAAACCATACACTGCAACACTTGTGAGTCCCTATAAAACATCCAGAGAGAGATTTATTAAGTAAAATTTGGCTTTAATTTTGGGATTATGGGAAATTTATTTTTAGCCTTTTCATATTATTGCTACAGGGGAAAAAGTAAGGGATTCTCCTGTTGGCCACATGGAGAATTCTTTCTAGCGCCCCCCCCCCACTTTATGGGAGATCTTCTCTCTTTCATATGGATCTTGGCAAGATGTCCCCTCCCTCCATAAAAAAAAGAGGAGGGAAAACAAGAAAAAAATATATCTCAGGTTAAAATCTGTTTTATTAAACTTCATGTCCTTCCCATTTCTGATACAAAGAAATCTTCAATTTATTATTTCTCTTTGCAATGAATGTATCTCTTTTCCCAGCATACATGGGTAGAAGAACGGGGGCATACATGTATTTGGGTTAGGAGCTTTAACTTGGCCCCATAAAATCTACAAAATCACACTGGGAATGTCTGAAAACATTAAGTATTTTTCAAAATATTAGAATAGGAACACTGTTGCACCGAACATTATTTGGATGTTTTCTAAATAAGCTTTTGGGCAAGAACAATCAGCCCCTCTATCCTCACTGCATATGTAAGGAACAGATCACCTATGAGTACAGCATGGTACCCTGGATAATGCAGCAAAATCACAAGAATAAGAGGTTGCTTATTTTTTAACTGTTATTCAAATGGTCATCTGTGTACTCACATAACCCACACTCCATTCTCATGCAGACTGACATCTTTTCCCTCTTATTCTATCTCAGGATGTGGAGTAAATGTCCTTTGGCATGTTCAATGATAGCAGGACAGGCTGCATTTTCACCCAACAGGTCAACTACTGAACTTGTGAACTCTATACAGGAACAGAACCAATTTTACTACCTGAAGAATCAGAGCTGTGAGTAAGCAATTCGCTTTAAATTAGTAGGAGATATTTTGCTGTGGATCCATGATGGGCAACATTATTGGCTCAGAGAGCCTTACATGTTGCTGAGTTGGCACAAGGGTCACATAAATTCACATACCAATTTGCATACACATGCACATCTGCCCCTTCAAATAAAAAGATAGAGACAGAGACTGAAAAAGAAATACATCACCCCTCTTCCTAGCAACCTCCTGAAGATCACTTAGTGCTCTTCCTGCTAACAGCAGTGGAAAATTCATGATCTCCTCTACATGCACTGTGGGGGAAGGACTATATTACCCACTAAAAAACTTACTAGCGAAACTAGCAGAATTCATCTGGTAAACTACAGAGATTGCATGAAGAGTTAGCATAACCAATGTTTCTAATAATTCTTGTACAACCAAATCAAAAATTAAAAATAAATTTTAAAAAGTAGGTGCTATTCAATTAACATAACTGTTTCTGCTACTGGAATAAATCTTTTTTTTTTGGATCAGATTGTTGGGTAGGATGGGAGAACGTGCAAGTAGCTCCAGGGGGAAGAAAAGTACTACAGTGGTACCTCGGGATACGAACGCCTCTACTAACGAACTTTTCGGGTTACGACCAGCTCTGGCCGCAAAAATTTACCTCGATGTGCGAACTCCGCCTCGGGGTATGGCCATTTTTCCGCCCTGACACATAGTCCGCGGCCATTTTCCCACCCCTGACACGTGGTCCGCGGCCGTTTTCCCGCCCCTGACACGTGGTCCGCGGCCATTT